ATTTTCAAGTTTGGAAATTTTTATATAATAAAGTTAAAATGAACATTATTTTCTTATTCTTGGAAAATTTCTAGATAGACAATTACCGATTACTTTTGTAATTTATAATAAATACTGAAGATATTCAAATGTATTACAATAACAAAAGATTTAATTAAAAACTTATTAATTTTTATGTTGAAGAGAATGAACAGAACAAGAAAAAAAAATCCCTAACAACATTAGCTACATAATTCGATTTGTCTAATGATTGCACACATATGCAATTCATCAATTTAAGCTTAATTTCCACTAAACATTTGTTAGCTTTACTTACAACTTAATTATGGTTCAACTATTTTTTTTAATACTAATACAATGTCTAGTTGTTTACTAATTAACCGTCTTAGTCATCGTATTCCAATTGTTTTAAGAAATTAAACAAATGATTAGAAGATGTCTATTGATAAACAACGAACTAAATCTAATGATTAATTATCTCAAGCTACAATTACGAGTAAATTATTAGAGATCTTTGATAATTGAACACTTAATAATCCTATTAACGTCTTCTCTAGCAACTATTATTTTCTTAAAAATAATCCCATTAAGGGACATTTGAAATATATATATCCAAAGTATATATATTCCGGTCAATTTGTTTGTCATACTTTTCTTTTTGGTCCGTTTCAAATACAATGTCTCTTTTCTTTTTTTGGTCACTCTTTAGTTTCATCTTTTCACATGACATATTTAAGACCACGAGATTGAAGTACATTTACCCATCTTTACTTAAAGATCATATGATTCCTTTTACTTTTTTTAACTTTGTGCTAGTCAAAACATGATAAACAAATTAAAACAGAGGGAATATTATTTTCTTGCAGGCTAATTAATTGAATTATCCTGCTGAATTAAGAGAATTTTACACAAATCTCATAGTGTTAAAAACTAATTACATCTTGTTCCTACTCTTTTCCAATTTACAAAAATCCCTTAAATTTGGTGGAATCGAAATACATCCAAAATGTCTCGATACATCGCATTTCGATTTCGGATACATCGCTCAACGTCCCGATTGATCGCATTTCGATTTCAGATATATCACTCAACGTCCCGATACATCGCGTAAAGTGATGTATCTGACCGATATATCGCATAAAATGATGTATCCGGCCGATACATCGCGTAAAGTGATGTATCCGAGAATAAGAGATAGTATGATTTTTTGTAATTTCAAATGGGAGGAAATTTTAGAGAATATTGTAAAATAAGTTGTGTATTTAGTTATTTTTTCGAAAATCCACACCTATGATCCAGAAATTAAGGAATGGACTGGGCTATTGATAAGTTTGGATTGGGCCAATATTTTGCACACCTAAGGAATGGACTGGGCTATTGAATTTCATCGCTAGAATTGGGCTGGGCTGGCTAACCAATCCAGCTAATTGGGAAACATGTATCTAAAAAAGAGTCGTTATATGTCATAATTAGGGGTGTCAAATCGACCGATTGAACTGAATTTGAACAGATTAAAATAATTCGAGTTAATAAATTAGGTGTCTGGTTGACTCAATCACAAGTTACTTGACTTGAAATGAGTTAAACAACAGATCAAAGCTCAATCCATTCAATTATAACTAAGTTTTAATTACCTTATTTACGCGATATAATTTCGCCCTAAAATTATTCAGTCGGTCCCTTTAACCCCCTTTCCCTTGTCAACACAAATGCCATCTGTCCAGTAAGATTAATGTAAGGACAATGCGTGCTCAACATTACTTGATACCAAAGATTTGCTTCACATAATATATATTATTATAAATATTACAATATCTCTAACTAATTAATATTCTTTCCCTCCCTAGCTAACAAACAATAATACTGTATTTAATTATAGCATTTTGTCCAACTATTGATAGTATATAAAGGACATCTAGACCTAAATTTATATCTTACATAGAGCCAATGACGACTAGAATAAAAAAATTTCCTTTCTTGATTCTAATTGGTCAGCTACTTCTGTTACTGCCACGTCACCGAAACTCGGCTTACGCCGCCGGCGGTGGAAGGTGGGACCTACTCATGTCCAACATCGGCATTTCCTCCATGCACATGCAACTCCTCAACAACGATAGAGTCGTCATGTACGATCGTACTGACTTTGGCGCATCCAACATCTCCTTACCTAACGGCAAATGTCGTAACAACACTAATGACCTCACATTGAAAGTCGATTGCACTGCTCACTCTGTTGAGTACGACGTGTCCACCAACTCGGTACGTCCCCTCATGGTACAAACCGACATGTGGTGCTCCTCCGGCTCCGCCACCTCAGACGGTACTTTGGTTCAGACCGGTGGATTCAACGACGGTGAAAATGTTGTAAGAATTTTAAAACCGTGTAATGGAAATAAAAGTACGTGTGATTGGAAAGAAATAGAAGGTGCGTTAATACAAAGTCGATGGTACGCGACCAATCATGTGTTGCCAGATGGCAGACAAATTATAATAGGAGGTCGTGAGGCTTTTAACTACGAGTTTTATCCTAAAACTCTTTCGACAAATAATATATTCAATCTTACATTTCTTCAACAGACTAATGATCTTAGAGAGGAAAACAATCTTTACCCTTTTGTTTTTCTTAATGTTGATGGAAATTTATTCATTTTTGCGAATAATCGAGCTATACTATTCGATTACACGAGGGATATAATAGTGAAAACGTATCCGCAAATACCTGGTGGTGATCCGAGAAATTATCCAAGTACGGGTTCTGCGGTTCTTCTTCCTTTAAAGAATTTGGAGGCACAAATAATTCAAGCTGAGGTTTTGGTATGTGGTGGAACAAAAAATGGTTCGTTCCTTAGGGCACAAAGAGGTAATTTTTTGGGTGCATTAAATACTTGCGGGCGGATTACAATTACCGACCCAAATCCACAATGGATCATGGAGACAATGCCACTAGCTCGAATAATGGGTGATATGGTAATTTTACCCAATGGAAATGTCTTGATCATTAACGGAGCGGGGGCGGGTACGGCTGGATGGGAACTTGGTCGGAGCCCCGTTTTGAGTCCGGTGATTTATCGTCCTGATAATCCAGTTACTTCGAGATTTGATGTACAAAATTCGAGTACTATACCAAGAATGTACCATTCAACAACAGTTTTACTTCGAGATGGTAGAGTTCTAGTTAGTGGTAGTAATCCACACGGGCTTTACAACTTCACAGGAGTTCTATACCCGACAGAGTTAAGTTTGGAGGCATTTTCACCATCGTATTTGGATTCAGAATCTATAAATTTGCGGCCACGGGTCGTTTCACCCGCTTCGAGACGAAAAGTCAAGTATGGTGGTCAGGTGAATATTCGATTTATCATACCTGGCCTGATAAATAGTAATTTGGTCAAGGTGACAATGGTTGCACCAGGATTTAACACACATTCATTTACTATGAATCAAAGAATACTTGTGCTTTCAAGTGGAAACGTAACACAAGTTGGAACATCAACTTATAAAATCAATTCGATTTTTCCAAATTCGAGTAAATTAGCACCACCTGGTTACTATATGTTATTTGTGGTTCATCAAGATATACCAAGTGAAGGAATTTGGATCAGGATTTAGTAACAAGGTTGGATCACGGTTGGCGTGAGTCATGTGAGTAAGAAATCACGATTCAAGTTGTCGAAATATTTTTTTATGGTTCAAGTCTTCTCTTGATTCCGCAAATAGCAGGAGCTTAATTAGTAAAAATGATAAAAAGAAATATTATTATTAGGTGTGATGGCTACAATTCTTTTTTTGGAAGGTTACGTTGTTGTAAGCATGATAATAAATTCAATTCTTTTGTATTGACTATTCGAAATATATATATATATATATATTGCAGTCCTATTGCAGTAATAACGAAAGGCTTGTGTTGATCAATTTATTTATTTACCTCAGACTAATTAAATAATAAAGATTATATTATGTTTGTCACAATCTATATGTTGGCATATAATTTTTTTAAAAAAAGAGAAGTGGTGCTCTCCATTGAATATCTTCTTCAACGCTCTAAAATTGATGGATGCACGTAAAACCTTTTTTTTTTTTTGGTTTTCCTATTGACTAATTCTTTGCATTTACCTAAATCAAATTTGACCTTGATTAGATCATATTATGGATTCGAAAGAGGGTGAATGTCACATATAAGATCAATTATTATATACTTATGACAAAACGTACGTCAATAATTCTATCGAAAATAAATTAGTAAACTCAAACTGAACATTCCATTGAACAACTAAGCAATGCCTTCATGCGCGCTGCGTCATAATAATGAAATATTGAACAAAGAATGATTCAAAAATGATTTTTTTTTATCTTATATCATTTTCAAACGTCTCATTTAATTGAATTATATTAAGCAAAATTTGCATTCTACAACTCAACGTTGTTGGTCCTGTTTATTTATGTTGAATATTTTGACTTGAAATCGAAAAATTGGTGTTTGAAGTTGAAGTTAAAATTGTAGTTAACATTAACTTCACTTGGAAAAAAGGGGTTTGCAAATGTTGAAGATTTGTATTTTGTGGAGAAAAACAGCTCATTCAATATTTCACTTGCTTCCAAGTGTGAGTCAAGTGAAGGGCGAAGTTCAAACGAGGAAAGACTTGTAAGATCATGATATGAGCAAGTGCTTTTTAGGTTGTGTTTAATGTTTTGGTTTAATTGTTATATATCGAGAGTTACTCCGCGTATTACTAGTGTCACAAATCACAATTTCCCTATGGTGATTACCTATACTCTCCTCATTCCAATAGAAAATTGTACAAACGAATGGGAAATCTTCACACATGAGACTTCCGCTCTACCAGCATTTGTTGGTATATTACATCAAACACAGTTTCAAGGGCACAGAGATATGGAGCATAAAACAACGACGAAAATCAGTTCAATTCCACAGATAAACAATCAGAAAGGCACACAAGAAGTAATGGAACTCAACGAAACCACCATATCAGCACAATGGATTAATCAGAATCAGCAATTCATATTAATCAATGTATTGTGTCCCTGTGCTAGCATTTACAGAACACAATAAGGTCCTTTAGATATGCATCCACTGATCTACATCCAGGTACAAACAAAAGATACTAGTTCGGTACATAAAGGCTAAAACCATACACGGGCAACCAAAAAGAGATTGATCATTAATCAGCATTGTGATCAGCTTAAGCTCGTTCTCCACGAATCCGTCTTGCAAGTTGAATATCCTTGGGCATTATGGTGACTCTCTTAGCATGGATGGCACACAAGTTGGTGTCCTCAAAGAGACCAACTAAATATGCTTCAGCAGCTTCTTGAAGTGCAAGCACAGCATGACTTTGAAACCTCAGATCTGTCTGTTTTATAAACAAAGATAGAAAGAAGTGTTACTATCATCCAAACCAACTATTTTTTCAAGCACACAAAAAGATACATCCTTCGTTTCATCTTCTGTGAGGGTGTTTCACTTGGCACCGATTGATCTATAACAAAATAGAATAATAAAGCAGCGGGAAAAGAGAGTTAACATCATATAAAAGTTAAAAGTGTGAACGCTCTAGCGAATTTATATACTTGGAAGTTGTATAGACAAATAATGGTTTCCAACAATTCTTTTAATGAGTAGATTAGTGTCAGACAGTTCGAAACATCCCAAATAGAAACAATGACATATGAATCAGAATGGAGGAAGTAACGAAATGATACTCTAATCATCACAGGTTCTACATTTACCACAAAGTCCTGAGCAATTTATGAGTAAAATGATGTCAAAATATTTAGAAACATCCCAAAATAGACAATGTCATATAAGTTGATGTTGAAGGAGCAACTGACTGATATTCTAAGGATCACAAAGTTTTATATTACCTTGAAATCCTGAGCAATTTCACGGACAAGCCTTTGGAATGGTAACTTCCGGATGAGAAGCTCAGTGCTCTTTTGATATTTTCGGATTTCACTATAAACAATTAAATATACATAGTAATAAATCGCTGAATCAGATTAAGACAAAACATGATTGTTAAAGAACAATGTCAAAACAAGAGAGATTGAATAAGTACCGGAGAGCAACAGTTCCAGGTCTGTAACGATGAGGCTTCTTCACTCCTCCTGTGGTAGGGGCTGACTTCCTCGCAGCCTACCAAATTAGGAAAAAGAACACTAATCAGCATAACTATAACAAAAAATTCCTCCTAAATTTGCAAAATCTAATACATACCCACATAAATCTAAATCAGTTAGTTAAAGAGTTTTAAAAATCAATATTTGGTTTCCACCTGGTTTCCATGGGGGCTCGAAGGAGTAAAGCACTATCTAACAACTTGTTTGGATATTTTTTTCCTAATGTATTATATTGTGTTATAAGTCTAAATACAATGTTTGTTTAATTGTTACCTAAATTTTATTGTACCGTATCATTAAATCCATTGTTACATAACAACGAAAAGTGTCATTTTGTGTAAAAACCAATTTGGTGTGATCGCGCCGCTATCTTGTTTATGTTTCTCATTTCATCATTACTTATTATCTAATGATTTCATTTTATCCTTTACCTTACCTACATTGTATTCATCACAACAATACAGTACGAAATACAACACAATACAATATAATATGATACATTATGAAACAACCATCCAAACAGAGTATTAACAAAGGCTACTTCATACCGGATCAAACACGAGACAGTAAAATATATTCCAACCTTATGAAAGGAAATATTTAAAAACCCAATCATAAATTACAGAAAAAAAAGAGAGGATAACTTTGCAATGAAAGCAAAAAAGAACCAACCTTTGTAGCAAGTTGCTTCCTTGGAGCCTTTCCACCGGTAGATTTACGAGCTGTCTGCTTAGTACGAGCCATTTCTTCACAATCTGTAAAAAAAAAGAAAACGATTAAGCAAACGGAAAATATATGACAAATCACTCTGAAAATAAGGAAAATACGTCGTCACCGGAATCAATAACCAGAAAAAGGAACGAAGATTGCCGGAGAAGAGAATCATTACCTGAAAAGGTTGCAGAGAGAATTTGAAATTTGAAAGTGGATAAAAGCTGAGGTATTAAGAAAGAGAAATAAGGGATTTATATATATTAGGGATCGGATTTTAATTGGGCCGGATTTGAAAAGGTCTGTCTTAATGGACCCAATAGTCAAATTCTTGTATGTACATCAGCCCATATCATTTTCGTGGAGGTAGAGAAGTTGTTTCCCAAAAACCTTCGATTCAAGTGCAATCTTCGAGGTACAAAGAAATACTCCTTAACATAATATTTTGTGTGATATAAGAAACATCCAAATTAGATGGTTAGCCGAACATATATTAGTGAATTAGTCATCATAGCTATAATTTTAGTTAATTACCATTTGCGATCAACACTCAGTGATAATTACGTGGCCTGGAGTTTCAGATTTGTATAATTCGAAATTTGTATAACTTTTGTATAATATAATTTATATAACTGTTTAAAGGTCAGATATTTGTGTTTGAATAAATTTATTATTTCGAGTTATACAAATGTACCCGCCGATTATACAAACGAGAGTTTAAACTGTAGCTATAATCTGTAAATATGCAAATTATATCATGAATCATAATTAAGTTTATTATAATGGATATTTGCACAAATTTCCCAAATATTAACCGTACATAACTTATTCAATTAATATATTTTATGTTTTACAAAATATAATGTAGAATAAAAATATTTAAAAATAAAATATGCATGACAAATCATAGGAGTAATTTCCCAAATTCTGATTTCTGCATAAGTAGTGAATTACTATTTCTTCTTCCTTAAAAATTCAGAAATAGTTTTGAACTATCTGATGATTTGGCAAGAGTTCAAGTGAGATCTACAGTTCAATTCATCAATGGAGGGCTATGTGTGGGCTATCGCCGCTGGACTCAACGCTGCTCTTGCAGCCATCTCTGCCAAATTCTTCACCTCCCAGGTCAAAAACTTTCATTGATTAGCTGTGAGTGTTGGAATGAAATTGGTCTAAATAGAGCCGAATTGACGTAGACAATTCATGTGGCTTTAATAGGTAGATCTAGGATTTGAAGTTTATGGGTTCGTGTAACGAGCTCAAGTTAATATTACAGTAATAGCTAGATTCATTTACAAATTATTATAGATATAAACAAAAAAAAGCTAATGAGTTCACGTGAATCCATAGTCAGACCTTTATATCTGACCTTGGTCGGTTTGAGATTGAGTTGTATGTTGTAGCTGTAGGATCTGAAATTCTGAATTGGGTCCATTTGTAAGATGACAAAATACCCTAATTGAGTCTGAAATGGGATGAATTGAGCGGAGCCAAGATTGTCATTAAAAAATAATTTTTATCATGTATAAACAGTATAATTTTCTACCGAAGGGGATTTGGGCCCTTACTAAACCGGAAAAGATGGATTAGTTTTGTGAAAGATTATGGCCTGGACATGATTAATCACCCTTTGCTATCTAAAGTGCTACTTTTGTCTGTCTCTTGCTTTGGACCCAAATGTTGTCATAATCACTGATGTTTCAGTCATCAGTGGGATGCATTATCTTTTTCAATATTTTACATTCTTAGTTGGGGAGGAGTGAAGGAGGTTATTGAAATGGAAGAGTTTGAGTGTGGGACTATATTATCTGTTTACATGTCAACTGCAAACTGGATTGATGCTTCTACTGGAGTCATGTCCCTGGATTGATCACCTCATATTTTGAATTGATTCCCAGTATTCTACTTGTGTAGCTTCAGTTCCCTGTCAATAAAGATCCTTGATTGTTTTTGTGGTAAATATTCGGCATAAATCTTTGTCCCCATTGAATGTCTAATGTCTATTATCTATGTAAATTTGCTCAATCATGTCATTAGTACTCATTCTTTGTTTCTGCTTCACTCTAATGTGATCTTTTTCAAGTTCACAGCTCATCAAATATGGTTGTGTCATATTATTCAATGTCACAATGTGGGGATGCTATGTCAATAGCCTTAAAGCTCTATCATCTCTACAAGCTACTGTGACTAACTTTGCAACCAACTTTTTATCATCTGGATTGGCTGGATTTTTGCTTTTTCGGGAGCCACTACCAATCCAGGTAATTTGTGAAATTTATGCTACTCAATTTATGGACTATAGTATGATCCTCCGATCCCACTTTTTGTTCAGTCCTCTCTTACTATTTTATGGAAATCCTGGTGTTGCTGTGCTGTTACATCTTGGCACCTATCGCCATAACTGGGATTTTTCCCAGACATAGCCGAATCAAATTTTTCTTAGAACATATTACCATTGCTGGATGAAATTGTTCTTTTGTCATAGATTTCATCAACTGATAAAATCAATAAGGACAATTCAAATTAATGCTCTTCTTTACATGAAAGGTAATATTCCATGGTTTATAGACACTCGAAAGAGAGATTTCTTCTCTTTGGAGGAACATGAGACACTGGGCTGTCCCCCCATTCAGCTATCTTAAGAGTTATACATCAAAAATATGATAAAAGGGGTAGGGATCTTGGACCTTTGACTGCGGTGGTAGTGACCATACAATACGTTAGATGTGTTTCAACTTTTTTACAATACGCAACTGTTTACACTAAAAATTAATCAGTTTCCGCAACAACAACAACATACCTAGTATACTCCCACAAGTGGGGTCTAGAGAGGGTGGTGTGTACTCATACCTTATCCGTAACTTGTGAAAGTTAAGAGGTTGTTTGTATAGACCCTAGGCTACGAGTAAAACATTTCAAAGTAGGTATTAAAAGGGAATAAAGTAATGAACACGAGTTTTCTAACTATTTTGTCAACATCGTTTGTTTTTATAGAACGTGTTCCTGCATATTTTTAATAATAAGTACCAGTAGAGTTTCTCAAAACGAATGTTAGAGAACTTGTAGCTAGTTAAGATTAGCCTGAAGTTCTAATTAAATCAGAAATGTGTTCCTATATGGTTGATATGGCTATTGGTTTCCCTACATGATAATAAACAATGTTCAAGCATCTGTGCTTTTACATCAACTAAAAGGTAGATACGTCCCTGATCCCCGTTAGTGTTGACGATAGATCAACCTGTCCTATACGATGAAACTTATGCCATTGATCTATTAATTGGTATTGCTTTTGCAGTGGTTTGCAGGCGCTTCCCTTATCGTGCTTGGAGTTATTGTTTTGAGCAAGTCAAGCATAGAGAAGAAAACTCATACAAGTTAGATTTGAAGAAGGTGTGAGCCAAATATCAGATGTAGATTTTAATGGCCTTAACATGAACTACTGTTAAATTCGTGTCTCAAAATCAGTTTATTTTGCATTATTGTGGCTATGTTGATATAATTGTTGCTCTTGTAATATTGCAATATTGGGACTTGTTCAGTACTTAGGCAACTTTTAAATGATCCACTAGTTTCTTACAGACTCTCTACCTCTCATGGAGGTATGACTAAAGTCTACGACTCTACGTACATACTAGTGCCTTCTAATTTTGGGTGTGTAAATAGATACTTAACTTTATGTAAAGTTGAACAAGTACACACACATTTAATATGACATAATACAAATTAGTTCGAGTGTATTTTACTTGAATTACTATGTAGTATATATGTGTACTTGTTCAATTTCGCACAAAGTTAAATGTCTACTTGCTCACACTCAAAATTAATAGATATATATATCAGCTGAAACTAAATTAAACAAACATTTTTACTCATTAGGGCTATTACTAGATTGTATGGAATCTTAAAACAAAAAGATTTAAGTTGAAAATAAGAGAAGTCTCGTTAAATTTTGAAAAATAGAACATCAAAAGTTTAATATAGTAAAAACTGTAAAATCTCACATGTGAATTCATGTTAATTCTTTTTTCTTTTCGCAATTTACTAATAAATCTAATACTCAAAATTTATTAAATGCTCATTTACAGACCAAAAGGAGTTCATTTTGAATAAATTTAAAAGAATTTAACTATTCAAGAGTACATATTTAACGAAAAAATTTAAACCTACTCTTTTGTTTAGGACCATTTTTGTTATTTTCTCTTTTATAACACTGCTCACAAGTCAATTAAACTTTCACAAAGATTAAAAATTTCAAAGTTTAGTTGATTGACTAGATGAATATCCACGAATTTAATTACCTTAATCTCTTTTCCATTGACCATCCCCCATTTTGTCATTTTCACTTTCATTACACTGCTCACAGGTCAATTAAATTTTCACAAAAAATTAAAGATTTCAAAGTTTAGTTAATTGACTATATGAATATCTACGAATTAGATTACCTTAATCCTTTTTCCCATTGACCATCCCCTATTTTTTGTCATTTTCTCTTTTATTACACGGCTCATAGGTCAATCAAATTTTCACAAAAAAATTAAAAAATTGAAATTTAATTAAGTGACTATATGAATATCCACGAATTCAATTACCTTAATCCCTTTCCCCATTGACCATCCCTCATTTTTGTTATTTTTTTATTACACGGCTCACAGATCAATCAAATTTTCACAAAAGTTAAAGATTTTCATAGAATTTGATCACCTTCATCCCTTTTCCGATTTCTCTTTGACTACTATTTTATTTTTTCCTTGAAAAATTAATTCACTTTTCTTATATACAGAAAGTGAGCTGTTATGTCATATTCAGGTGATATTAGTGAAGAAAAATCCTCATTTTAGCAAAATAAAAGAAGAAGTATTCCAACCAGTAGCAAGTAGACACATAAAAAGGTAGTCTTTTTGCTTTCTATACTTGTTATTAGCACAAATTTCTATATAAGCTTCCACTCACAGTCATGGCTTTGCAGTCAATTTTTCAGAAAACACTATAGATATATCAAAGTGGATTGATACTGTAATATTTTTCCAAAGGGTAATAAAGAAACTCAAGAAAGAGAGAGGAAGAAAACAAAAAGATGCTGGTATGGGTGTTGGTATTGGTGTTGACAGGTAAAAGATAAAATTAATGAAAAATACAAAAAAAAAAAAAAAGGAAAAAAGAGTTGATGGGTGATGTCAATGTTGCTCTTTCTTTCAACTACTGTTCTTTCTTCACTGATATTTATCTCTTTCAAGTTAGGGTTTTGAGTTTTGACCCTCTTTTCTCTCTTGATTTTTCTTTTTTCTCAGATATGTATCAGCTCTGCTATGTAAGCTTTACATGTACTCTTTAATGGGTGTATCTTCTTTTTTTTACTTTTTATGTATTTTGTTGGTAAGTTGATGTTTGTTTATAGCTAATTCAGTTGTGGTTGAATGAAATTCTGAATCTTGTAGGCTTTGATGAGTGTTTGAGCTTGTTTATGAGTTATTTGAGCTTGAATTTTGGTTATGAATTGTTTTTTTTTTACTTGTTTTGGTTTTGGGGTTAATTGGTTTCTCAGAATCTTGATTAGCTGATTGTTTAATTGCTGCTGAAGTTCATTTTCCTGTTTGTATGATTGATCTTCAAGATTTCATTTTTAAGGTGCCCATTTTTGGATTTGTTTATTTTTTGGTTATAAAGATTGGTTCTTTCTATGTAGAAAGACTTAGTTTTTTTGTTAGAACTTTCTTTTTTTATGCTTTGGTTTAGATTAAGTCAAGGCATTGTTTAATGAAACACTCATTAGCCTTAAAACCTTTCCATTTTTAACAACAGTGTATGTCGTTGAGCCGATACAGTGAACACTTTATAGCTGGAAGAAACTGCTAGTAGAGTGTATGTTGTTAACAGATAATCATAAAGCTCTGGTTTTTATTCTTTTTGGCTGTTGGGGGGTTTTGGGGGGAGGGGGGGGGGGTGTTTATGAGCTACTCTTTAGGTTAAATTGCATCTTGTAATGAAATTTTTGAGGCTACTGATTGGCGTTGGTATAAGTATTTTGTTGTTCAAGTTTATCCTGAAGCAGAATTTTTCCATGACTGGAAGATAACTAATGACTACTGATTTTGTCCATCTTATTGCAAGTTTTTAGCATGAGAAAGATACTTATTATTGTAAATAGACCTGCCACTTAGTTCCAGTCAGGAGGAACATGTTGTAGAAACTGCAATATGTCCGAATTGATCATTCATGTATTTGATGAAGAGACCACACTCATTTAAGAAAGTGCCATTTGCAAGATTATCTCAACTCTTTAAGAGTTTGCCATTTGCAAGATTATCATACCAAATTGGCAACATGGAGCTTCCATTTTTTCGTACTGGCCCTTGATAGTCTGATATGGAATTAAGCTGTATTTATGGAATTATTTTGTCTCAATCAATCAAGAATTATGAGTTATGGTGCAATGTTGTTTCAGAAGTGAATATTGCATAAATTCTCTTTTTTCAATCTGTATTTTAGCTTGGATTTTATAAATCAGTTTTCGTCTTACTGATGAAACTGACTAGATGAAACAGCTAAGCTTCTTCCCTTTTTCTTTAAATACATATTCTTTCCATGCAAATTAGATAACTTAGCACCAACAATAGTTTTGAACTTGTACATAATTGGGGTGATATCTTCTTAGCACAATAGAACGAGTTAATCATGCTGGTTTAATGTACCAAAATCTTCCAATGGCTTTTTAGATCACAGGCTTATTGGCAATTTTCTGGTCTCCACTTTACACCATACAGCTATTCCAAAGATCTCTATGGAATTTGTAAAATCCGCGAACCTACTGCTGGAATAGTTTTGAACATACTTGGGCCTAACGTACCCTCATCTGGGATTAGCTTATTCATATTTGTTCTTCCTCAGCAACCCCTATGAATTTAACTTTACTCGTTTTATATGTTGCCAATCTGTTGAAATCTGCTCCTGTGATTGCCTTAGCTTTCCATAAGTCATTACTAATATGTGCTTTTATTTTCCTCTTTTGGGATGGTATTTTTTTTGTATGAAGTTCGGGATTATTCTAATGTCCGGTGTCTAATGGAACAACATATGTGTATTTCTACCATGACCAAAGCATTACAAATCTTGTGTTCTTTTCTCATCTCTGCTTCCTTATGTTTCTTTAGGGTCGGCGGCGCTAATGATGAGTGCTTGTCTTTCAGGTTCTTTATGATTCAGCCTTGACTAAGAGAATGCAGATCTGAACTGTTGGTAGTTGGTAAGTTTGTCATATTGATTCATTTATTCACTCAAAGCTCATATATGTGCATGCTTCCTGAAATGTAATGGATTAATTATGTTGGATTTTTTCCCTTTTTGGCAACTCTTATATTTCCCTTATTTCTTTTGTTAAGAGCATTTAAAGGTGAAGGCTTTGACTCTTGATTCTTTCTGCTCATGTGTTCTTTAATTATTTGAGAAAGGTCGATCTGCTTTGATATGCTTTTCCATTGAGCCGAGGTTCTATCTAAAACAACCTCTCTATCTGTCAAGGTAGGGGTAATGCCTACGGACGCTACGCCTATTTACACTCTACCCTCCCCAAAACCCACTTGTGGGATTATATAGGCTATGATGTTGTATAATATGGAGAAAAAGGGGAACCTAGGAGCAATGGTAGTTGTCTTTGTGTGACCTATAGGTCACGTGTTCGAGCCGTGGAAGCAACTACTAATATTTCTATTAGGTTAGACTGTCTACATCACATACTTTGTGGACCGGGCTTTCCTAGATAAGATAGAGAGAAAAGGAGAAATTGAGAGGTTGTGTTGATCATCATTGTTGGTTAGCGAGAAAAAACCAAAGTAGTAAACATTCGTGGTGAGCGCGAGAAAACCGTCATGGTTGTAATCAACTTGAATCTGAAAGATCTAATGGAACCCTTGTAACCCAAGGAAAACTAGATGTAGGTACAACACCAGGACACAACTATAAAATATAAGAATTAACTAGATAGCCATTCACCCAACTGACTAAACTAAAAATAGGCCGCAGATGTATAATATAGTGTACAATATAATTCATGTATAATATGTGTATGATCGTGAATAATCAATGTATATCGGCTAGATAAAGTAAACAATAAATCTGCCCGGCTATTTGTGTGAAGATCCCTTAAAGATAGTTGTGTCATTTACTTTCTGCAATTTAATTTCTGTGTTGGGTATTCAGGGACACTATCCTTCCATGAAGAAGCTGTGACCTGTTTGATTATCTAACTTTTGGCTACAGGTGTTGGTTTTTCCTTGATGAGTATATGTCAGTGCTGTTGGATTGAGGGCTGACGCTTATTTTGACAATAACTATCTGCATATCGTATGGATGACAGTGGGAATCGCGATAATGGAAGGCATAAACCGCCTCAGGGTCAGGTATGTAGCAGGAGTTGAGGTTGATTGCTTAAGTCTAGTTTCTTAATTTGGATCTTGAGTACGATTCCCATGTGTTGTAACCAAAGGTGGATCCTCAATTTAAACTTGATGGTTTCAACCTTTATGTTAGATACGGGTTAAAAATGTACTGTTTTATTGAAACTT